TTATCACAGCTCTAAACATTATAAAAACCTGAGAGTTCAAGTCTTTAATGTTATCTACCAAAAATTAATTTTCTGAAATAAAGAAGAAAATAGATTACCATCCCCCTGTCAAATAGTGGCTATTCACTTCACACATTATTCTTCATTATCAAACAAATAATAATTGTAGTAATATAATTTTCTCTAATCTCGCAAACATACAGCTGAGTTAACATTTTTATATGACTATATAATTAGTGAGGGTTTTTAAAATAGCTTAAATAGAAGGAATATAGAATGTGGCATCTTTCTGAAGATCTGTTTGAAGAAGGACATCAGAAAGAAGTTTAGGTTAAAATAAACAGACTTAATGTAAAGAGAATTCCTACAAGTTATTTCAATAAAAGGCTTCAATAAAAGGCTTATAAGTTTTGCTGTATCATTATAATCAGAAATCCAATGCTCAGATATTCCCAGTAATTTGATATATTGTTATGCATTTTAACAGAGATCACATGTGATGCTGTATCAAGTGGAATACATATTTGTGCAAGATAATTTATTTTCTCTATGCTAGTGGAGAATCTGATTGCCAGTTGAATTGGCATCTTTTAAGCATTCCATGAAAATCTCTAGCAACTCTGGTAAATAGAACAATCATTTGATTGTTACCTGGGAAATGTAATTAGAATAAGGAAATCAGTTTTCTTAAAAGACACATTGAATTTCATGAATGAAGGAAAATTCATTTATTTTCCTTATTAAATATATTCATAAGTCCTTTCATTCTTAAAAACAATCATAAGATTTTGAATTTTGGTCCAGCTTGTGAGAGGCTTGTAAATCATCCCTCCCTTCTTCAAAAGCACAAAAAGTTATATAAAGTAACAATCAAGAACTCTTCTTAGATCTGTCAGAGAACTGTCACAGAGCAAACTGCTCTCTGCCAGATGGGTGGGACAGTTGGGCAGATACAGAGAATCACAGCTCAGGAGAGCAGAAACTCAGGAGCAGAAACCACAGTTAGAGCCAGTACCAGTATGTAATTGTCAGAATGCTGGAGGTCCAGTGTGGACAATCTTGAGAGCTAAGAACTCCAGAGGTCTCCAGTCATAGGGGATCCTCCATACTTTCATTAGTTTTACCTCCAGGAATTCTACCAGGTTCTCTCAATAAAGATGGGAGAAAAGTCCCTCTATACTTCCAGTAAAAGGAGAGAAGAGCTGCTTTGAAATACTCCCAGAACTTTATGTTGTTCTTAACAAGTCCTGACCTGGAGAAGGATGATTTTACCAGAAGGATGATTTTACCAGATTTTACCTGGGAGAAAGGAAATACTCAATTCTAGCTCCATGCAGCTTTCTTGTCACATCTAAGGGCAAGGTAGACTGAGCAGAACATGTGAAGGTCACAGCCCAGAGGTAAGGCACAGAGTCACTGAAAGACTGAGACCTAGTCATGGAACTGTTGAAAGCTTGCCCTCCCTCCACACCTTAACAACATCAATAGGACTCCTTTATAATAACAAAGGGTTATAACTGAAAGAGACAGACATCTCAGGTCTACTGAGGAAGTCCTAAGAAAACCCAATGGTTACAGGGGAGACCAAAACAAGGATATCAGGAGAAAATATAGCCTGTGACATCTGTAGCAACAGCAAATAGTAAACATGGCTTGATTCCTAGCCAGATAAAAACAGTCTTATACCAAAGATCTACTTACATTAGTTACTTATATCCAACACATCGTGTCTGCCTATAACTATAAAATTATAAGGCATACCACAAGATGAAAAGTACAATTTGAAGAGAAAGCACCAAAACCAGACTCAGATATGCAAGATATTTTGCAATTATCAGACTAGAAATATAAAACAACTATGATTAATATGTTAAGATACTGATAAAACAACCCCAGCAATGATGACAAAAATAAGACCATTATATTCTGTGCTTTTAAGGATACTAAAATTATACCTACTTGAGCTCACTGACTATCAGAGTGGGCATTTTATTCTAAATATTTATTATAAATATTTTATTTAGTCTCTTTCCATCTATTCTGCTGGTAGAATGCCATGACCTACATCCTGTGAATTGTCCATATTTCCTAGGATCACTGTTTTCATGTTCACCAAACATGCAGACATAATACTTAATCCTAAAACAAAGCAATTTACTTGTCTTTTAATCCATCTAACTGCTTTGTTTCTTGAGGTTCTCTCAAATTTTATATCTTTCTGTGAATGACATTCCTTTTTTAAAAAATATAAGAAACCAATGAAGTTTGACATTTCACCATGATTATGATTCTTTTTTTTTTTTTTTTAAATTCCATTTACTCTCAGGATTAGTTGGAAAAGGGAGAAAGGAAATCTGAAAGGTGATTTTTCCAGTGATCTTATGCAATTGCCATACCTGTTTTCAGAATAGTTTTTTCATTCTACTCTTTTATTTCAATATTTATGATTCTAACTTGGTACTAACATTTCTCTCATTCCAACAAAGACTTTAAAGATTTTCTTTGATTCTCCTATAGTTCTTCAAAATATTTTGATCTTTGCTCCAATTAATAATTTATGTACTATTTACAAGGGTATACCTTTAAGTATATCTAATTTTAAATGTCTGTGATATGCATAACATTTAAACGTTAAATTCTTTTTCAATAAATCAAATTTTTTCTATATTTTCTAAGCATTTTAGAACATAACTAATACACTAAGTAGAATCTCTTTATAGCTTTTTATACAGAGAGTATCTCTTATGATTGTAAGTTTTTTAAGTTCTATTTTACCTTGCAGATATTTGAGTAACTAAAAATATCAATTTCAAATTAATTTACTAAATGCCTTACTAAAATATAGATTATTAGATCTGTAATACTTCCTTCCATTTAGTAGACTTGGGGTTTTATAAAACTACATATTTTTTAAGATTTTTGTATTTTCAATATACGCTAATGTACTTATCCTTCAGATTTGATTTTTTTTTTTTAACAGAGAGAGAGAGAGAGAGAGAGAGATCATAAGTAGGCAGAGAGGCAGGCAGAGAGAGAGAAAGGGAAGCAGGCTCCTCTCTGAGCAGAGAGCCCGATGTGGGGCTTGATCCCAGAACACTGAGATCATGACCTGAGTCGAAGGCAGAGACTTTACCCCATTGAGCCACCCAGGTGCCCCAGATATGATGTTTTTTATTAAAAGAGATAGCACAAGTTTTTTTTTTTTTAAGATTTTATTTATTTATTTTGAGAGAGAGAGTGCAAGTGGGGTGAGGGGCAGAGGCAGAGGGAGAGAGAGAATCTCAGGCAGACTCCTCATGGAGAGCAAAGCCTAATGTGGGCCTCAGTTCCAGGACCCTGAGATCATGACCTGAGCGGAAGTCAAGAGTTGGATGCTTAACTGACTGAGCCAACCAGGTTCCCCGAGATAGCATGAGTTTTAGTTGATTCATATTCCAGTGTGAAAGCATATATCCTGGGGATTAACTACTGAAAGGAATTTCTTTTTAAGATTTTACTTATTTATTTGCCAGAGGGAGTGTGTACAAGCAGGAGGAGCAGGAGGCAGAGGGAGAAGCAGGCTCTCAGCTGAGCAGGGAGCCTGATGAGGGACTTGATCCCAGAAACCTGGGATCATGACCTGTGCCAAAGGCAGACACTTAACTGACTGAGCCACCCAAGTGTCCCTGAAAGGAATTTTAAGGATACTTGGCAATAAATTCTTTGTGTTCAATAAAAAAAAAAATTATAAAATGAGCATTTATTTTTTAATTATTTAGGTTTCCATCTATCAGTCTGTACTGTCAGGAGAATTCAAATAAAGGATTTATTTCAATCTTTTCCTTTCTATTGATTCCTTAAGGAAGCCATTATTGGTATAATCTGAGGCATCATAAAATCAGCTTCTTGCAAGTCCCTCCCATATCCAGGTGTCAGGGTGCTAAAATTCTTCCTCAGAGATCATCTTTCTGTGATCACTAGGAAAAAACCTTTCCCAGGGCAAAGCCAGGAGGGGAGGACTGGAAGAAAAAGGAAGGCGACAGTTCTATTTAGTTTATTTCTCAGATAAGCTCTCTCAGACAAATGAACCTTGGGAATACCCTCTGAAAGGGAAAAGTATCTGACTTAAGTCCAGATTTTCTCATATTATTTTGTTCCGATGACAGTTATTGACCATTTTTCCATATAATTCCATAACTACTTATGGAGACTTCTGCTTCTGACCATTCCTTTCTCATCTTCCAGCTCTGAGCATCTGATTCTATTCATACTTATGCATTTTTTTAGCCAATAGGCAGGTCTCGCCTTCCCTTTAAGTCTGATTCCTTAATCTTGCACTGGGTCACCTGACTGTCCTCTCTAACTACTTAGCCTTTATATCATTTTAGACTGGTCTGTTTTTAATGATATGTATAAATATACATTTAAAATTCGTGACATCACAGTCTTGCCAACTGCTTGCTGTTCCCTTACTATATTCATGTACTGTGGTCAGTTTTAATAAAGATTGTGGTCAGAAGCTATCTTTTAATAGAGACACTTCTACCAAGGTAAGTCCATTCTGGTGTTAATGGAGTTCAGATCAGTCCAGACTTGCAAAGAAAGCAGATTCATCCTCCTTGAACATACAATACTCTGAGCCCAACTCTGGAAGCAGTGCTATGTCCTTGGGCAAAACAGAAGTTCTGCCAAGACTCTGACAATATTAAGTAATTCCTCTACTGGCATCCTCCTTCCAAATGCATTAAAACATTAAAGGACAATACATTAAGTGACTTGCACCTTAGTGAGAATCAATTTATCAGAATGCTTTTCTCCTGAAAGGAAAGGCTGAGGGTACATGTGATGAATGGACAAGAAGGGAAAGGGAAATGCTGAGAAGGAGTATGCACAGTCAGAGAAAGAGAAAAACGCTAATACTGACTTCTCCAACCTAATTTCCACCAGATAATTTTCTATTACTTACTGAATTTTAAAGACAAGGAAAAAAGTATCACAACAAAACCATCAATAATCTTTACCACAAATCCAGATATGCGTAAACATGTTGAGCCAAGGCCAGGTTCATTTTCTGCGCATATTCCATGAACACATAAGTTGGAAATGCACTCTTCAAGTCCATCCTCATAGTGATGTCCTGACTTTCCTGTAACACAAAGCATATGTTCAATTTTTAATAATAATCATAATAGCTTTTATATAGTTTATATATACTCTTCCTATTATAATTGGACTTGGTATTCTATATAAATTATCACAGTTTATCTTCATAATCATTCTATCAGGTAACTATTATTACAATCTCTATTCAGTAGATGAGAAAATTAAACTTAGAGAAGATAAATAACTTCCCCTAAAATCACATAGTTATGTAAAAATGGAAGCAAGTGTCTATAAAATAAAGTTTCGGCTTGTATCTATTGAGTTATTTTACATTACATATCCAAATATCTTTGTTTATTTTACCTTGGAATAAATATATAGAAGGCAATGGTATAAGCACACTCTATACTTCCATTAATTTATTAATTTTTAAAGACTTTATTTGACAGAGAGAGAGAGAGAGAGCAAGCACAAACAAGGGAGCAGCAGAGGGAGAGGGAGAAGTAGGTTCTCTGCTGAGCAGGGAGCCTGACGTGGGACCGAATCCCAGGACCCTGGGATCATGACCTGAACCATAGGCAGAAGCTTAGTGGACTGAGTCACCCAGGTGCCCGCTTACTTCCATTTAGTATGAATCTTAAATCCAGAGGAAAGCAACTGCTCTACTTTTCCAGATATAAAATGCTTTCTTATAAACTTGTAACATTTTATAGTTAGTATTTCTTAAGCTGTGATTCCACAGAATATAAATAATATGTCTATGTTCAGCTGACTATAAGCTATAAGAATTCTCTTTAAACATAATGATCTAATTTTTATACTAACACACTGTGTGTTTGTTTTTTTTTTTTTTTTTTTTGCTTTTGCCATTATTTTATCACCAACCTAGCAACCAACATGGCTAAACTATCCAAAAGATAATATCCAAACTACGGTTTACTAGGTACCCATTAAGAACATTTTTTAGAAACCATTGATTCTTTTCTATGAAGGATCTCTTTATAATGATTCTTAATATGTTTAAGAATATGTTAACTTAAATACACTATTTTACTTAGGGACAAATGTTTTTAGAGGCAGCTGTTACTAGCTTTTAAAACTTTATTTTTCTGGGGTGTCTGGGTGACTCAGTTGGTTAATGTTTGTTAAGTGTCTGCCTTTGGCTCAGGGTCATGATCCCAGGGTCCTGGGATGAGTCTTCGGTCATGTCAGACTCCCTGCTCAGCGGGAAGTCTGCTTCTCCCTCTCCTTCTGCACCTACCATCCAGTTCCACTCATGCAATCTCTGTCTTTCTCTCTCTCTCAATGATAAAATCTTAAAATAAGCTTTATTTTTCTATGTATTATCCAACAGGACTTAATCTGAACTCTGGCTATTGGAAATGGGTTTTTATTCTTGTTCCTACTTAGCAACCTATTCTTACTGTTCTTCCCTGATAAATTGTAAGAGAAAAATTACATAAGTATCCTGGGGTGCTTAGAAGTGATTTAGGGCAATATAACATTGTAAGAAGAAAAAACACAGCACAAGTTTAAAAGATTTGGCAAAGTTCAGATCAAACTTAGAAGGAGCTGCCAAAAGACTAATTTTACCAAAATTATATCCAAGACTCTTTTCACTTTGTAATGCTTTCATATGCTAGGTTGATTCTGTAGGCATCTCTACTACGGAGGCTATAAAAGGTGATACAGAAAAAACATTTTTGCAGAGCTTATAAAAAGCCACCATGACCAGTCACTCACATGGTTGAATCTCATCACATATTGTGAAGCATAAAAGCATATTCTATAAAAATACTTACATTCTGATAACTATTCTTATAAAAATCAAATACATGCAAGCTTAGTAACATTGCTTAGACATATACATATATATATATATATATACATACATATATATATAAATAATAAAGTTCTAAGGAACACTAAGAGAATGTTGAATATAAAGTTCAGAATATGGTGGGATAATATTGATGTGTTCAGTGAGGACTATAGAAGAGGCTGGAATTATTGCTAATATTTTGTTCCTTAAAGCAAATGGGAGGTACACAAATGTTCACTATATTATTTTATAAAACAAATATTCCTTCATTGTATATTCTTTTGAGTGAATAAAACAATTCACAATATAGCTTAAACAATTAAAAATGATGATGTAATTTTCTTCTTGCTTCTAATACTATGAAGGGCATTGTAAAACTTTAAGCCAAAAGATGGGAACTGTAAAAGAAAAAAAAAATCATCATTCTTAGTTAAAAAGACAAGGAAGACTTTATTCAAGAGTATTCCAGTAAAAAGGAGAGAGATTATTGAAACAGGAGAAAGAGATTTCATTTAACTGCACAGAACCAAAGACAGGTGGGAGAATTTTCAAAAGCTGGAGTGACCTAATGCGAAAATACTGGAAGATATTGGGTTGTGGGGAGGTTGGTCAATGTGCTGAGGACATCTTTGTTTGGTAACTCTCACTTATTGGCAATAGGCTCCTAGCTTCTCACAGAGTTTGGTGGGGGGTCAGAGGGGGACCCTATCTCCTTCTGTAATTACATTTCAGAGGGATGACTCCCAGGTGCTCTAGAAAAACATTTCTGGGTTGTAAAATTGACAAAAGGCTGAAAGAATGTTTACATCTCAAAGGGGCATAGAAAAAAGTTACAAGTTTTCTAAAGTAAATGCTCTAAAGAAATGGAAGTCAGGGACTTGAAGTCATGAAGCCTGTCTACAGTATAGTTAAGCTGAGGGGAACATTAAAAATATCTTGGTCAAAAACAACAAACTAGGATAGAAAGTAAGTTAGTTAAGATTTAGAACAGGAAACAGGAACCACTCTAGATATTTAAGGAAGGAGTCTTAAAAACAGAACAAAACATTTACAAAATTATTAGAAGGAAGGGCTGTAGGAGTAAATCCAAAAACCACACACAGGACTCTCTGGGTGATGCCACTTCCCCCATAATGAGGAAATTGAGAAATATAAAAGCCACCATTAGAATTATTCAATTTAAGCACTCTCTGCACTAATAGAGGGAAGCTGGATTACCAGGAATTTGCTGGCACAGTCTCTCTTGCTGTCTCTTCCTAGTCTGAAGCTAGTGATTAGACATTGGATTACAGAGTCTCAGTGCCATTCCTGATGGTTCTGCATTTTAATACACATAAAGTCAGAGACTCAGAAAATCTCACGTGTCCATAAACTTACCTACCAGCTGAAATTGCTAAGATACCTATAAATGACTTCCACCACATCCTCAAAATTTCAGGTATGTTTATTATAGTTGGAACTCAATTTATATGCACAACATCAGCTTCAAGTGACATCTAGATATTGTTGTTTTCTTGTCTTTGTAATACAGAAACCATAGCAGACAGGAGTGGATGCTGAGTACCAACCAACCATTAAACTAAAAGGATGAATGGTTAAAGAATATGAGGTATATTTATACAAGGGGATACAACTCAGCCATAAAGAAGAATGAAATCTTGCCATTGGTAACAAGGATGAACCTGTAGCAGCACTCCAACCAGTCTGAAGAGTTAACTTAATTCAAGTTAACACACCTTTCTTGCTGACCTAAGTCCCCAGATCTGTATAATGGAACTAATTTATTTTCTCTGAGATTTGCAAACCACTGGGCTTGAGGAGTGAAGGACCAGAACCTTCTCAGGCCACAGAACCCAGCAGGTCTATTCAAAGGCAGCTCAACTTTCTGATTAGCCTATTTTCTAGCAAAATGTTTTTCTTTTTCTAGGTCACCCAGAAGATTTTATTCCCCCCTCCCTTTGTGTATCTGCAGAATTTGCCCTCCTTTGTAGAATGAAGTCTTCTCACAAATCATGAAATACAAACCGGACCCTCCTCACTCAGTTCTGGAGCACTAAGATAATGTTTGTAGCTGGCCCCATTGAGAGTCTTCATGAAATCAAGAAATGTTGTAGGCCACTGTACTCCCTTCGCTGATTAACTTCCCTAAACATCTTTAAAAGCCCTTGGGCCAGGCAGAAACCTCAGAGTTGGCTTTTAGACAAGAGTCTGCCTTCTCCCCAGATTGCTAGCCTCCTGAATAAAGCCCTAATTCCTTTCCAATAAAAAACTTGTCTCGAGTAATGGCCTTTCAAGGGACGGGTAGCTGAACTTGGGTTTGGTAGTAGACCTATTAAGCTAAGTAAAATAAGTCAAATGGAGAAAGATAAATACTGTATGATTTCCACTCATGTGGAATTACAAACAAAACAAATGAAGAAGGAAAATAAAACAAAACTCATAGAGAAAAGACTTCTGGTAAAGAGGGGAAAGGGGTTGGAGGTGGGCAGAATGGGTGAAGGGGGTCAACTGTATGGTAATGGGTGGTGACTAGACTTGTGGTAGTGATCATTTTGTAGTATATAGATATTGAAATATAAAGCTGTATATCTGAAACTTACATAACAAAAAATGTTTCAACACAAAGACTGATCATAATTTGAGTCTTTTATTTCAAAACTCTGCTCTGGGTTACTAAATGTCATCAGAAAACTATTAATAACCACTTAACTTGCTTCTAGAAAATATGTTTAATATATATTTTATATATATGAATTCATATTTAACATATATAATATATATGCAATTTTATAAACACAAACACACACACACACACACACACACACACACATATAATTAGATTAGATTTGGACTTCCTTCCAGGGAGCCAGTCTTTGAATTCAAAACTCTTATAGCTTCTTAATATGTATTAGGGGAAATAAAAGGGGGGCGGTAGTGAAGGGAGGTAGAAACTAGCAACATAATAAATAATGAACAAAATTAACTTTTATTTTTTACATTTTTGTGGAGGTGATATATTCACAGGTGCCAGAATCTGGCTTTTTGCTGTGGAAGCTGAGCAAGTCATGAGATCTTTCAAAGCCTTTGCAAAATGGAAATAACAATAAACATACTTCAAAGTTTATAGAACTTGTGGTGAGATTTGAAGATTTGAATGAAAGAATCTGTGCAAATTGCTAAACATAGAATATAGTAAGTTTTTTTTAGGAATGTTGGCGACT